ACCTGCTGACTGTGTAGTTTATCCTTACCCTGTGTACAGAGAACCTGCTGACTGTGTCGTTTATCCACACCCTGTGTACAGAGAACCTACTGACTGCGTCGTTTATCCTTACCCTGTGTACAGAGAACCTGCTGACTGTAGTTTATCCTTACCCTGTGTACAGAGAACGTCCTGATTGTGTAGTTCATCATTACCCTGTGTACAGAGAACCTGCTGACTGTGTAGTTTATCCTTACCCTGTGTACAGAGAACCTGCTGACTGTGTCGTTTATCCTTACCCTGTGTACAGAGAACCTGCTGACTGTGTAGTTTATCCTTACCCTGTGTACAGAGAACGACCTGACTGTGTAGTTTATCCTTACCCTGTGTACAGAGAACGTCCTGATTGTGTAGTTTATCCTTACCCTGTGTACAGAGAACGACCTGACTGTGTAGTTCATCCTTACCCTGTGTACAGGGAACGTCCTGACTGTGTAATTCATCCTAACCTGTGTACAGAGAACCTGACTGAGTGTGTAGTTTATCCTTACCCTGTGTACAGAAAACCTCCTGACTGTGTAGTTTATCCTTACCCTGTGTACAGAGAACGTCCTGACTGTGTAGTTTATCCTTACCCTGTGTACAGAGAACGACCTGACTGTGTAGTTTATCCTTACCCTGTGTACAGAGAACGTCCTGACTGTGTAGTTCATCCTTACCCTGTATACAGAGAACGTCCTGACTGTGTAGTTTATCCTTACCCTGTGTACAGAGAACGACCTGACTGTGTAGTTCATCCTTACCCTGTGTACAGAGAACGTCCTGACTGTGTAGTTTATCCTTACCCTGTATACAGAGAACGTCCTGACTGTGTAGTTCATCCTTACCCTGTATACAGAGAACGACCTGACTGTGTAGTTTATCCTTACCCTGTGTACAGAGAACGACCTGACTGTGTAGTTTATCCTTACCTGTGTACAGAGAACGTCCTGACTGTGTAGTTTATCCTTACCCTGTGTACAGAGAACGACCTGACTGTGTAGTTTATCCTTACCCTGTGTACAGAGAACGTCCTGACTGTGTAGTTCATCCTTACCCTGTGTACAGAGAACGACCTGACTGTGTAGTTTATCCTTACCCTGTGTACAGAGAACGACCTGACTGTGTAGTTCATCCTTACCCTGTATACAGAGAACGTCCTGACTGTGTAGTTCATCCTTACCCTGTGTACAGAGAACGACCTGACTGTGTAGTTTATCCTTACCCTGTGTACAGAGAACGACCTGACTGTGTAGTTTATCCTTACTCTCTGTACAGAGAACGTCCTGACAGTGTAGTTTATCCTTACCCTGTGTACAGAGAACGTCCTGACTGTGTAGTTCATCCTTACCCTGTGTACAGAGAACGACCTGACTGTGTAGTTTATCCTTACCCTGTGTACAGAGAACGACCTGACTGTGTAGTTTATCCTTACTGTCTGTACAGAGAGAACGTCCTGACTGTGTAGTTTATCCTTACCCTGTGTACAGAGAACGTCCTGACTGTGTAGTTCATCCTTACCCTGTGTACAGAGAACGACCTGACTGTGTAGTTTATCCTTACCCTGTGTACAGAGAACGACCTGACTGTGTAGTTTATCCTTACCCTGTGTACAGAGAACGTCCTGACTGTGTAGTTTATCCTTACCCTGTGTACAGAGAACGTCCTGACTGTGTAGTTTATCCTTACCCTGTGTACAGAGAACGACCTGACTGTGTAGTTCATCCTTACCCTGTGTACAGAGAACGTCCTGACTGTGTAGTTTATCCTTACCCTGTGTACAGAGAACGACCTGACTGTGTAGTTCATCCTTACCCTGTGTACAGAGAACGACCTGACTGTGTAGTTCATCCTTACCCTGTGTACAGAGAACGTCCTGACTGTGTAGTTTATCCTTACCCTGTGTACAGAGAACGTCCTGACTGTGTAGTTTATCCTTACCCTGTGTACAGAGAACGACCTGACTGTGTAGTTTATCCTTACCCTGTGTACAGAGAACGACCTGACTGTGTAGTTCATCCTTACCCTGTGTACAGAGAACGTCCTGACTGTGTAGTTTATCCTTACCCTGTGTACAGAGGAACGTCCTGACTGTGTAGTTTATCCTTACCCTGTGTACAGAGAACACCCTGACTGTGTAGTTTATCCTTACCCTGTGTACAGAGAACGTCCTGACTGTGTAGTTTATCCTTACCCTGTGTACAGAGAACGTCCTGACTGTGTAGTTTATCCTTACCCTGTGTACAGAGAACGTCCTGACTGTGTAGTTTATCCTTACCCTGTGTACAGAGAACGACCTGACTGTGTAGTTTATCCTTACCCTGTGTAGATTGAACGTCCTGACTGTGTAGTTTATCCTTACCCTGTGTACAGAGAACGTCCTGACTGTGTAGTTTATCCTTACCCTGTGTACAGAGAACGACCTGACTGTGTAGTTCATCTCTACCCTGTGTACAGAGAACGTCCTGACTGTGTAGTTTATCCTTACCCTGTGTACAGAGAACGACCTGACTGTGTAGTTTATCCTTACCCCGTGTACAGAGAACGTCCTGACTGTGTAGTTTAGCCTTACCCTGTGTACAGAGAACGTCCTGACTGTGTAGTTTATCCTTACTCTGTGTACAGAGAACGACCTGACTGTGTAGTTTATCCTTACCCTGTGTACAGAGAACGTCCTGACTGTGTAGTTTATCCTTACCCTGTGTACAGAGAACGACCTGACTGTGTAGTTCAACCTTACCCTGTGTACAGGGAATGTCCTGACTGTGTAGTTCATCCTTACCCTGTATACAGAGAACGTCCTGACTGTGTAGTTTATCCTTACCCTGTGTAGGTTGAACGTCCTGACTGTGTAGTTTATCTTTACCGTGTGTACAGAGAACGTCCTGACTGTGTAGTTCATCCTTACCCTGTATACAGAGAACGTCCTGACTGTGTAGTTCATCCTTACCCTGTGTACAGAGAACGTCCTGACTGTGTAGTTTATCCTTACCCTGTGTAGAGAGAACGTCCTGACTGTGTAGTTTATCCTTACCCTGTGTACAGAGAACGACCTGACTGTGTAGTTTATCCTTACCCTGTGTACAGAGAACGTCCTGACTGTGTAGTTTATCCTTACCCTGTGTACAGAGAACGACCTGACTGTGTAGTTCATCCTTACCCTGTGTACAGAGAACGTCCTGACAGTGTAGTTTATCCTTACCCTGTGTACAGAGAACGACCTGACTGTGTAGTTTATCCTTACCCTGTGTACAGAGAACGACCTGACGGTGTAGTTCATCCTTACCCTGTGTACAGAGAACCTGCTGACTGTGTAGTTTATCCTTACCCTGTATACAGAGAACGACCTGACTGTGTAGTTCATCCTTACCCTGTGTACAGAAAACGACCTGACTGTGTAGTTCATCCTTACCCTGTATACAGAGAATGTCCTGACTGTGTAGTTTATCCTTACCCTGTGTACAGAGAACATCCTGACTGTGCAGTTTATCCTTACCCTGTGTACAGAGAACGACCTGACTGTGTAGTTTATCCTTACCCTGTATACAGAGAACGACCTGACTGTGTAGTTCACCCTTACCCTGTGTACAGAGAACCTCCTTACTGTGTAGTTTATCCTTACCCTGTGTACAAGGAATGTCCTGACTGTGTAGTTTAGCCTTACCCTGTGTACAGAGAACGACCTGACTGTGTAGTTTATCCTTACCCTGTGTACAGAGAACGTCCTGACTGTGTAGTTTATCCTTACCCTGTATACAGAGAACGTCCTGACAGTGTAGTTTATCCTTACCCTGTGTATAGGGAACGTCCTGACTGTGTAGTTCATCCTTACCCTGTATACAGAGAACGACCTGACTGTGTAGTTTATCCTTACCCTGTGTAGATTGAACGTCCTGACTGTGTAGTTTATCCTTACCCTGTGTACAGAGAAGGTCCTGACTGTGTAGTTTATCCTTACCATGTGTACAGAGAACGACCTGACTGTGTAGTTCATCTTTACCCTGTGTACAGAGAACGTCCTGACTGTGTAGTTTATCCTTACCATGTGTACAGAGAACGACCTGACTGTGTAGTTTATCCTTACCCCGTGTACAGAGAACGTCCTGACTGTGTAGTTTAGCCTTACCCTGTGTACAGAGAACGTCCTGACTGTGTAGTTTATCCTTACCCTGTGTACAGAGAACGTCCTGACTGTGCAGTTTATCCTTACCCTGTGTACAGAGAACGACCTGACTGTGTAGTTTATCCTTACCCTGTGTACAGAGAACGACCTGACTGTGTAGTTCACCCTTACCCTGTGTACAGAGAACCTCCTTACTGTGTAGTTTATCCTTACCCTGTGTACAAGGAATGTCCTGACTGTGTAGTTTATCCTTACCCTGTGTACAGAGAACGACCTGACTGTGTAGTTTATCCTTGCCCTGTGTACAGAGAACGACCTGATTATGTAGTTCATCCTTACCCTGTGTACAGATAACGTCCTGACTGTGTAGTTTATCCTTACCCTGTATACAGAAAACCTCCTGACTGTGTAGTTCATCCTTACCCTGTGTACAGAGAACGACCTGACTGTGTAGTTTATTCTTACCCTGTGTACAGAGAACGTCCTCACTGTGTAGTTTATCCTTACCCTGTGTACAGAGAACGTCCTGACTGTGTAGTTCATCCTTACTCTGTGTACAGGGAACGACATGACTGTGTAGTTTATCCTTACCCTGTGTAGTTTATCCTTACCCTGTGTAGTTGAACGTCCTGACTGTGTAGTCCATCAGATCATCCTCGGCCACACACTGGACATGGACATCGTCATAGCTAGTGCCAGGCTGGCCGTAGTCGGGCCAGTACTTCTCACACTTTGCCTGGAAAACACATTTACTATCATGATTATCCAATAGTACACTGTATTCGATGATTTGTCATTGAAGTTGATGTGATTAGCGCAGGGTGATATTTTTTCAGTAACAAACATACCACTGACTAACCTTTCTGTTCTCCACCAAGTTGGTCAGCATTATCACTTTGCTGGCATCAGTTTCCCATATCATTCTCCAGAAATCCCCCATCACAGCTGCGTAAGGGCCTGTGATATATGAAGGCAGGTTAGATGTTAAGTACAATGTAGACGTGTACACTACAGGGGCACATTGATGAAATAGAGATTACAAAACTCGCGGGTGTTGAATGTGGAAAATATTCCAAAGAGATATTTGTAAATGTTTCGATTTATTTACTAGCGTATTAAATTAATATAAACGTTTAAACATATCTCGTTGGAATATTCACCATATTCAACATCCACGAGTTTTGCGATCTATTTATTACACACAGGACGTGAAAACAGTGTGATCCATGATGACAAATCAAGCAGACGATGCCGGATGTAAACAAAACGAAAGGGAGATAACTCTGTCACGACTACTTTATAGATGAAAATATACAATTAAAAATATTCAGTTGAAAAATAATACTAATCACAAAAATATAATTTTGATTATCCACAAACCTAATGTTTTGTATTGTTGACAGTTTTGGTAAAATAAAAGCTTGAATGGTCTTGAATGTTAATGTGAAATATCGAGGTGGCAACAGAAAGTTTGTCAGTTTGACGTCACTATCTTGGAATAACCTAGTTTGGTTACACAACACTCGTTGAATAACTTTCAACCAAACAACCATAATTATCTCATAAAGATATTCAGAACCCGTGTGTAATAATGCTGAAGTACACATACACTGGCAACTATTTGTGTACATTTCTTCATACAAAAGTGAGTAGATATTATCTGAAGCCACGGACTTTTTCAAACGAATGAGAAATCTGTATTACCTTGTGTGGCAACAAATGCTTTCGGTTCACCATATCCCTGGAACAGCGGAACACATTAGTTGGCAACGGTCATATACAATACCATTTTATGGAGCGCAATAGTGCAGTGGTACGGTGTCTGCCTATCACGCTGAAGGCCCGGGTTCGATCCCCGTCGGAGGCACCCGCTGTGGGCACATTTGCGTAGTATCCTTGAACAAGATACTTAGATCCACATTGTCTCAGTTCACCCTGCTGTAAAATGGGTACCCGTGAGGATGTGCTGGCAATGTAACTGTTTAGTTCATTGCGCCTAACAGGCAGCATGGCTGTCTGATCCCCAGGGAGTTGAAAAAGTATCGGAAAGTATGATAGTGTCCTCCTGTGATAGTAATGTACGTAGCGCCGTGAGCAGGCAATGTGCCTGGATATGAGCGCCATATAAGCGGGCTATTGCTATTACTATTACATATCTCACGGTACAATATTTACTATGATATGCCATTATCAGGAGGTATCGATATCTTCTAAAAATGACATGAAGTTAATATATATATATATATTGATCCGGCAACATTTATACCGTTGGTAAGGCTGCCACATTGCATTGTAATGTTTTCATGACGATGAGCTATGCATTGGTCTTCTTTGTCTTACAGAGAACTTACATTTATAAAATTGGCGTTGATAAAGTCAGAACCAGGTACAGTCGGGGCGCATGAAAGTTTTACTCTGCTGTGATCATCTGCATAACAAAGGGAGTAATGGTTATGATGCATACAGCCTGTTGCATGTCCAGTAACAGATACCAAATACTGTTGAGACCTTTACAGTTACAGTTTAATGAACATGGCGTCTTTATATAACAGCTGATGTGTACAAGACACACACACACACACGCACACGCACACGCACATGCATAATGAGAGTTAAAGACAAAAGGCACTTACACGGTAGTATGTTTCTGTATCTGTTCTTGGAGACATTCTCTGGCAATCCGGCTAGGGTACAGGGACCTAGCTGTCCACGGGGCAGGTTCTGGAACAACAAATTAAAAGCGGGCCGATAACAAACAGATGATAAACATAGGCGGATCGGGGGGTGGGGGGGGGGGGGGTGTTTGCGGCCCCCTTTCCCAAGAGTGTGCCCCTGATATATACGTATATCCTTCAGGATCCTCCTATGTAATTACAGCAGTTTTCGTCTATAGAATTACACTCACATAAAACTGGGAAGTAAGGCCGCCATCCCTCTTCATGTTTTCAACATATTGTCTGAGATTGTGTACCATCACTTCCGTTGACCACACTTGGTCAATAAGGGCAGTGTCAGTGACGTCACCGGATGCTAGAGAGTGTGAATGAGGACACCATTGCCCATCGCTTATCCTGACGTCAACACAAGGGGGCGCTACTTCTTCCTCGCCCAAATCCAGGGCGTCTAAGTCCACAGGGGTTGTACAACCTGTAATTGAATCACAAGAAACTATTCATTACTTTTACTTATCAAATACAATGGGCATTACCTCACTCCAATAACTGATCACTTTTTAACATATAAAATCTTGAATATGTTGGACTGAAGAAATACAAACACACAGTATATATTACCGTTTGTAGAGGCTTCATATGTTGGGTTCAGTATGCATACTAAAGAGGCACTGTTTGGTCCTCCAAGAACTCGTCTCCATTCTTTCCTTGTTTGTCTGGGACTATTTCTAAACAATGTAAAACATAGGTCAATTATATTCATTAACGTTTATGGATATAAATGGAATAATTCCATGCATCCATTCATCCATGCATCCATGCATCCATGCATCCATCCATCCATTTAGCACCATGACTCTGCCCTGTCACAATCTGCCCTATCTGGGCCAGTCACACCAGTTTATTGACATTATTAGCCAAGATCAACGCTGTCGGGGTGCACCAACACGCAATCATCCATGCCACCGAGTCCGACCACTCGATCCATTATTTCGCAAAGTTCTACCTGCCTACGTTTAGATTACTAGGAACCAAGTCTAACCCGGAATCCTCACGGGAACAGCAATCACAAAACAGAAATGCACCTCCTTCTATCCCTGGGAATAACTATAATTCATCTAACCTCCGCATGACTACAACGGCCATTACGATGAGAGTGGCTATCAGCAGACATGGAATTACAACCCACAGCAACTGCGCCAGGGGTCTGCTGGGTTCTATCAAAGAAAACGAGGACATGTTAGATATTCAGTAGTAACAGAGAAATATGACAGAATAGTTGTGTTTGGTTTAATGTCACTTTCAACAATATTTCGGTGATACTATGTCATGTCAACTTGATGTTGGAGTAAGTGAGTGAGAGAGTTTAGTTTCACGTCGTGTTTAGCAATATTCCAGCAATATCCGGCGGGGGACACCACAAATGGGTTCACACATTGTACCCGGGTCTTCGGCGTGAATAGCGGACGCTTTGTAAACCCACTAGGCTACGCCTTGGTGTTGGAGAAAAGACTCAAGTCAGATAAAAGTTGAGAGCGTTGTGAAAAGAAATTGTTTGGCTCGTTTTTTGCATGTTCAAATGTTCAGGCTAAACCAAGTCGCTGTGTGCAACCATCCCTGGGAACAAACCCAGACCAGGATTCTGCACTAGGGATTACATGAGGAGTTGTGGCCTAATGTTATAACCAACACATTTCTTTTACATGCGAAGACAACACCAGTACAGTGTTCTCCAGTCCAGCCATCAGCACACGTAACACAGGCACCATCGTGTTGACACGTGTTGCACACCTGGGGACATGTTTCAGAACACCTGCTCCCGTAACGCCCGCTCTCACACCCGTTTATACAGTCTCCTGTCAGGTTACATTGTGACTTCAGGCAGGCAGTGTTACAGGTCAAGTTACAGTTCTCGCCGTATCTCGTGGCTTCACACGCCAGACACTGGCCACGATGTCTGTCACATTTCACACAGTGAAGAGGACACGTGTTGTCACAGTAGTCCCCCCACCATCCATCTTCACATCCGTCAGTACATTGGGGTGCATCTTCGTCGGTCCTTCCTGTATGACAGGCTCTGTTGACACAGTGGTCGCTGCAGGAATTGTTGCAGAAATGGCCGTAGAATGTTCCAATACATCCCTGTGAACATATTCCAGTTTCGTGGCGGCATATTCCTCCTTGACAACCAGGTGAACAAAGTTTTTCACACGCGTACCCGAAATGCTTTTGTTGACAAGTGAGACATTTGTCGCTATACTGTTCACATTTCGTACAGTACTGTGGACATGACACGTTGCAGTGGGAGCCTTGGAATCCCTGTACACAAGATGGACAGGACCCGGTGTCTCTGTGGCAGGACCGTGAGGCACATCGGTCGGGACAGTTTACATCACATGTATCTCCGTACCAGCCTGTGGCACAGCCATTGATACACGTTCCTGATATTTGTTCACAGGTGTGTTTCACACAGTTGGAGCTGCACTGTCGCTGACACGTGTCCCCAAAGTTCCCAACTCTGCAGGATCCACAAGTTCCACTCCGGTCACATGTCTGGTTACGACAGCCAGTGCTGCATCTGGTCCTGCAACGGTCTCCATAGAATCCGGGCTTACATCTTTCACAGGTTCCGTTACCGTGACAAAGTTCGTCCTCGCAGCTGGCATCACAGGCTTTATCACACTTGGCACCATACCGCCCTCTATTGCACCCGGAAATACATGTCCCGTTTAACGAGCAGTGGTCTCCAACACAGTTATCACATTGTATATCACACCATGATCCATACCATCCCACGACACAACCATGTGTACACTTTCCGTCCTGACCACATACGTTTTGGGAGCAGTGCAGGGGGCAGGGTACTGTACAGACATCTCCATGGAAACCGGTCTTGCATATACAGTTGGCTACATTACAGTTCTCTCACTGCACACCTCACAGTCCTTCTTCACATATACAGTTGGCTACATTACAACTCTTACAGCACGCAGGTCTCTGCACAACGCACCCCGGAATCCTTCTTGACATGTACAGTTGTTTACAACTCTTACACATTCACGCAGTCTCTGCACAGCACCCCGGAATCCTTCTTGACATGTACAGTTATTTCCTGAACACATTTCACAGTGTAGACAGTCTTGGTCACATTTGTCACCTCGTTTTCCTCTCATGCAGCCACACAAGCACCTCCCCTCATTGTCACAAGTATCACCTCGGTCTCCACACGACCTGCACCCGTCACAATGTAATTCACATGTAGACCCATAGTAGCTTGGCTTGCAGTTTTGGAGACAGTGTCCTCTCCACCGGTGACATGTTTGATTCCTACATCCTTTACTACATGGAGCTCGACAGTCTTCGCCCCACGTGTTGCTATGGTTACAGGGAACATCACATTTCCTTCTATAGTCGTCTGACTGTACATCGACGCCATCCTTGCATTTCCTGCACGAGGAACCATCCTTGAAGTATCCCGATCTGCAGTCTGTGGAAAACAGGTTTCATAGTTAATCATGTTCAATAACCATTATTAAAAACCCGACACAGATTTAACAACAAGATGAAAGAAGCGGTGGAATACTGAGAATGTAGCACAGATCATTCCATCAATATGAGAACATATAAACTGTCCTCCCCTACAGTGTTTGTGAGTTTTTGCAAATCTCTATGACTTGAAAATGAGTTTTACAGTTCCAGAGACAACTGCGTAAGAGCATGTTGTCTAACTAATGAAGGAAATACAAGAAAGACTACGGAAACATCGTACACCCTTCATCGCCGGCCTTGGTGACTCAGTGGGAAAACCAAAAGTTACAACAATATAAGTTCGTTTTGATTATGGCTTGTTTTCATTTCACCAGACAAAAGATCAGATGCATATTAAAAGGCTGGTTATATAATCCAACCATAACACTATAACCAGGTCACCATGAAACACAGTTGTCTAAAGCAGCAGTTGGTGTGTACATTTCTCCCTCACCTTCTACACACAGACCGCATGTTTTCTGGCACAGTTGCCCGACTCCTGGCTGCTTGCAGAGGATAGGTCTACAATTATCTGGACTGTTATCCTGACACGATGGGAAGCCTGCAACTATAGAAGTACAGACGTGCATTTCTCGACACTGCATTACACACTGGGCATAAGTGAATTGGCGATATGCTAAATCAGTGATATTCAATGTTATCCAGCCTAATATAAAGTTGAACTTTTATGTTACAAATTACACAAGAAGCCAATCATCGAAGACAAGTAAATCTCATGTTTGGACCTGATATATTACTGATAGTTCATGATTCGTGAAAGGGCCTGCACTATATCCACTGATTAAAATTTAGTTTGAACATCAATGTTATATTTCATGAACATGTCATACATTTAATCACTGACAACATTAATACCTGAGAGGCATGTGTAAAGGAGCGCATGCGTCAGTTATAGAACATAAACGTCGGCTTCATACACTCACCAGTCCATAGAGTGAGAGCCTGCCCGCACATTGTTAGAACGAGGACGCTGTGGTGACGCATGTTTGAAGGTACAAATCCCTCAACCTGTAGTCGATGAAACGCTAACCTACAGAAGCCTGTGACATGTGGGCAAAATGAGCTTCTACAACAACATAGTTTACGTCTTTCTTTAAACACAACTATTAAAGACGCATTAAGGGTCCATTAGTAAGTGGGCGTGGCATCGAATTCCTTTTAAATCATGTTGGTGACGTTTTCTCTACACATTTACATTTACTATGTACATTAGTAAGTCAAATGACACAATCAATGAAACAAATCACTCAAACTGCATGCATGAAGCTAAGTGTTTGTTAAAATGCATGACTTAAATACCATCCTTAAGTGCGATTGTCCTATTGACAGTCTGGTTGCATTTTCTTTCTGTGTTTATTGTCTGATATCGGTTAAACAAAACGATTGTACACGTTCCTTTCAATATGAAATATAGAAACCGTACTTTACCTTCTACAATGTGTGACGAGCAGGACTGTAATGGAGAGACATACACACTGACCGTGTGAATGATACTTTCCATTTCCCGCTTCCTTACAATAACCCGGAAGTGGGGAAGACACAGATTCTATATATACACAACATGTCACATACATGCTATGTTCTTTATTCGAATGCCATAGGGTCAAACACCATGTACATGCCAATATTTTCTATAAAAATATCATTTGCAGATGATGACAAAAAGCAATACGTTTGTCCAGATACATGTTTTTTAATATTTAGAAGATAAAGCTACTCTGTTTTCAATTTTGCGGTCCTTTATCGTTGATTTATGACCGCTAAATGTAATTTCAAAACCGAACGCGTTAGCGTTAACTTTATTCACGGAAATAATTGTTGATAACCACCCTACTATTCCCAATTTGGAAAAGACCTGACACGCCACGTTGTATGTTGGATACATGGACAGTGGAAGTGGAAGGACTGGGCATTACGGCCGGGACGTCGACGGAAGCGGTCAGGTTAGGACGTGTGGGCCGACGTGTGTTGTCGACGTCAACACACGTAGATCTGGACCCGCTTTGAATATACTGCCGCTTTTGCGCTGCTGACGGGTTTTCCAGTTTCGTAGTTTCTTCACTGGGATTAGGGTCAAGAAATTCTTCTTCAAACCATTCGCTTTTTACTTCAAAAACACCAAAGATGCTGCCGAGATAGAAATTGCCGATGTCCGACATGTTTGTTTACAAACAATAGGGTCAACGAGTTCGTTGTACTCATACGCGTTGAATCGGTCACTTTAATTAGCGGTCCTTAAACTGTCATTTAAGTACGGTTTTGATGAGCTCTCAGCCAATCAGAATCGAGTATCACACATTGTCGTGCTAGAATTCTCAGTACTATCTGTGTTCATCAGATCACAACAATGATTACAAATAACCATGAAGTAATATTTATCTTATCGTATAGGACGAATTACAGAGTCTACAAGGTCCAAGCTCCACTGGCTTCTTATGACGTCTAACCGTTACAGTCACCAAACTCAATCAAACTTGGACTGGGACATGGTCCATAGCAGAATGTTGAGAATATGTCTTAGATGTCAAAGATATTTTTTATGGATTTAAGCTTCTTTTTATTTCCCTCACAACGTTTCCGGACCATTACAGATCCCTTCGTTCACCTGATGAATTCATCTGTAATGGTCCCGAAACGTTTTGAGGGAAATAAAAAAGAAGCTTAAATC